TGTTGCTACTGCTGCGCTTGTGATTTTCGTTGAAGTCGTTGTTGCTGCTAATCTTCTTCTTGGTGTTGCGAGTAGAATAATGGTCGTCTTGCAGCTAGTATTAGTACTGTCAGTTTCACTGAATATGTTCATTGCTTCCCTTCTTGTTGTTCTCGATGGTGTCATGTTTAATACGGCTGTCGCCTTCGTTACAAGTGTTCTAGTCAACGGAGCTATTGGTTCAAAATGCGCTTGTTAGTGATAGCCCGAGCAGTATAACTTAATACTGCTATGCCACTTTCGCAAAACCCTAAGCTTTACCCCAAATCCTTACCCTCCTAATCCTAAGCCCTAAATCCTAAAATGCCTTATTGCCTGCGAACTTTTGCAGATGTCGCGAAAGGGCTTTTCGGAAGGTAGCTAGGGTTCGGGTTTAGGGTTTAGGGGTTAAGGTTTAGTATTAGTAAACCCTAAACCCCTAACCCTAAACTCCAAGGGCCAAGGAGCAATCGATTCAGATCCGGGGTTGAGGGTCTTGGCTTCCTGTGGTCTCCGCGGCCTGAGGAGTCCTACTAGTGCTGTTACATTTTCGGTTAAGGGTTTAGGGTTTAGGGTTCAGGGTTTAGCGCTTAGGGTTCATATGTCCGGGTTGCGGCCGGGTTGCCTCTGTACTAAAACGTGCCGAAGTACGTAGATATTATGAAATGAGCCCTGACTCACTGCTGATGCACCCAAGCCGCATTTCCGCTTCAAGTGGGTAATGCAGGATCTTGTCCCTTAGCAGTATCAGTATTCCTGATGCAGAAGAGTAGTTCCAATGGGAAGACTACATCCATACCTCCCTCACCATGCACCAAGAACTGAGCCCTCAACCCTCAACCGTACAGCACTACAGTCTAGAGCAATATCATACTCGGCAACACTAACCCGAAACCCAAAACCCTCCCTAAACCCTAAACCCTAAACCCTATACCCTAAAGCCCCAAGCTGCTTTCTGCAAGTGGCCTTGCAACACGACTTCCAGCATCCTTTGAGCCCAGTTCCCGAGACGTTCCAGATCTGGGTGGACGATGACCCGGACAAGGCACCACTTCCGTGGGTTTAGGGGTTTAGGGGTTTAAGGTTTAGGGTTTAGGGTTTAGGGGTTTAGGGTTTAGGGTTTAGGGGTTTTGGGTTTAGGGTAGCTTAGCTTGCCTCTACAGTGCGAAATAGACGACAAGGAACACAGAGCCTCTCGCCCCGATGTTCAAGCTTTTCACCCTAAGTGCTCCCCGATGTTCAAATTTTTACCCCGCAGTGCTGCAATAAAAATCAATCCACATGCTCGACACGCACGAATCCACAGAAGCCACGACCACCCCCAACTTCAACAACAGCCTCGCAAGTACGCGGCAAATCACGACAAAGCGCTCTGTCCTGTAGCAATGTTGAACTCAAAGAAGTAGATCTAACCTGAATAATCTTGGGAATTTGGTGGTGGTAGCGAACGAAAAACATTATGACGAACTCCTGCGTTCTCCACACTACGGACTATACATTGAATTCCTATAGTTCAGGGTACTGAATCCGAAGCGACTGCAGGATTTGTCCATCGGCAGTAGCCCCAAGAACCCCGGGACAGAAAGCCATCACTATAAAGAGGCTTAAGAAGAGTCGAGACTTTCCTTTCAAAAGACCACAAAAACGGAAGTAGACCCGAGACTGCAAATGTACAAGTAGACATCATTCAATCTATCACAAAGCAATCCTAAACCCTGATTCTCCTCAGACAAGCACAAACACCCTGAACCCTCCACCCTCAAACCCTAAACCCTGATCGCTGAACCCTAAATCACGACAGACTGAAGCTCCGAAGCCGCAAAGTCCCTTTCAAAACTTCGCCTAAACCCTAAACCCTGAGCCCCAACTCCCAAACCCCCAACATCCTAAAGAAGCCCTGAAGCCTCTAAAACCCTCAACAATGAAACCCTAAACCCTAAACCGAAGACCCCTAAACCCTAAACCCTAAACCCCTAGACCTCAAACCCTAAACCCTAGACTCACTTGGGGTACAGTCTGCATCGGGAAGTCTCGGAAGCCCTAAAAGCCTAAACCCTACACCGAAAACCCCTGAACCGAAAACCCCTAAACCCTAAACCCTAAACCCTAGACCCTAAAACCCTAAAGCCCTAAGCCCTAAACCCTAAACCCTTATAGTTCCCTTATAGAACCCCTCATACATCCCTTGAAAGGAACCCCTACTTAAAGGATCATGGGACTTAGTAAGTAGGGTTATAATTAGGGTAACTATACTTATAACTCCAATTAAGGGACTTATAACCTAGCTTACTAAGTCCCAT